CAAACTTTGCCACCTCACTGTTTACCCCTTTCTCCATATCATTTATGAATAAGTTGAATAGGACTGGTCCTAGGACTGACCCTTGGGGAACACCAATAGTTACCCCTCTCCATTCTGAAAATTTACCATTTATTCCTACCCTTTGTTCCCTGTCTTTTAATCAGTTCTCAATCCATGAAAGGATCTTCCCTCTTATCCCATGACAACTTAATTTATGTAAGAGCCTTTGGTGAGGGACCTTGTCAAAGGCTTTCCGGAAATCTAAGTACATTATGTCCACTGAATCCCCCTTGACCACACATTTGTTGACCCCTTCAAAGAACTCTAATGGATTAGTAAGATGTGATTTCCCTTTACAGAAACCATGTTGACTTTTGCCCAATTTATGTTCTTCTATATGTCTGACAATTTTATTCTTTACTATTGTTTCAACTAATTTGCCTGGTACTGACGTTAGACTTACCGGTCTGTAATTACCCGGATCACCTCTAGAGTCCTTTTTAAATATTGGCATTACATTAGCTATCTTCCAGTCATTGAATACAGAAGCTGATTTAAAGGACAGGTTACAAACCATAGTTAGTAGTTCCACAATTTCACATTTGAGTTCTTTCAGAACTCTTGGGTGAATGCCATCTGGTCTTGGTGACTTGTTACTGTTAAGTTTATCAATTAATTCCCAAACCTCCTCCATATTGGTGCACATAACAAAATTCATTCTGCACATAGGTGGGAAAAATTAGAGGGAACACTGATTGGGGGGGCTCACCAGAAGTGGCAACATCCCCCTCCCTCAGCTCCTAGGTGGAGGCGTGGCCAGGCAGCTCTGCGCACTGCCTCCGCCCTGAGTGCTGGCTCTGCAGCTCCCATTGGTTAGGAACCGTGGCCAATGGAAGCTGCAGGGGTGGTGCCTGCAACCTGAGGCAGAACTGCCTGGCTACGCCTCGACCTAGGGTGACCAGATGTTCTGATTTTATAGGGACAGTCCCGATTTTTGGGTCTTTTTCTTATATAGGCTCCTATTATCCCCCACCTCCATCCTGATTTTTCACATTTGCTGTTCGGGCACCCAACTGCTTCCTAGGAGCTGAGGGAGGGGATGTTGCAGCTTCCGGGGAGGTATGGAGCCAGGTAGGGAGCCTATCAGCCCTGCCAACCCTCCCCCCTGCCCCAGCACCAGCAGGGGTCCCGGGCTGCGTGCTGCTGCCCCCCCCCGAACCCGCAGTGCCCCCCAGGTCCCCCTCCAGTACCCACGATGCCTCTGGGCTGCCCCCCTGAGCACCTGCGGTACCCCCGGGCTGCCCCCCCCCCAAGATTTACTTAGGGGTATGTAGTACAAGTCATGGACTGGGCACAGGCTGTGAATTTTTGTTTACTGCCCGTGACCTGTCCATGACTTTTACTAAAAATACCCGTGACTAAAAGGTAGCCTTAGCCATAACTGACATGCTATATGCAGACAATAGGCCACAGTACATCACAGCAGAATTAAAACGGTTCAGTACTAAATGGAAACTTAAACACAAGATATCTTCCCTTGGGTACCCACAAAGCACTGAGAAGGCAGAGTCAGCAGTAAAGACCGGCAAGAGACTGATGACAAAGGAAAACAGACAGAGGAAAGGATCCCTACCTGACAATGGACAGGGTACAGAAACAGTTAAGATAATGCCAAGCTAGGCAGGCAGCCCGCTACAATAAAGGAGCCAAGGACCTGAGGCTTCTATGCACAGATGAACAGGTCTGGGTCGAACCATCAAATAGCCACACGAAGATATGGCAAAAGGCAACAGTCCAAACTAAAGTTGGACACAGGTCATATGAGGTAGCTAAGCTACAGTCTCTGGACAGCTAAACTACAGTCTCCGGAGAGGAAACTGAGGACAATGGTGTACTACTGGCAGACAGCTGATATACTCAGACAAGGCCAAGACCAGGAGGACTTAGAAAAAGCCTCAGCCATCATTTGGCCTGATGTAGGAGAGTCAGAAAAAATGTGGCTCAAGAGCAATAAAGAGAACCAACAGGACACCATCCAACAGAATGAAGATAGCAATAGGGTGGATGCAACTTCCCCACCAGTAGTCATAACACAAACAAGAAGTAAGAGACTGCTTCAAAGACCAGCATATTTGAAAGTCTCTGAGACCTAGCAGACAGCAAGGGGCTGGCAATAAAGTCATGTCCCTACAGTTGGCATGTCACCAAATGTTTGCATAAAAAACACAATAATTGTTGAAAGGAAAGATATAGCAACCAGCATGGAAATAGGAGGGAGCAGGGCAGACTGTAAGAGGGAAGAGTTTGGAGGATGCACCAGGGAGCTTGTCTCTGTGCGCCTGGCTTGAATGCTAATTGCAGTTGTAGCATCTCTATAACTCACGGATCGGCAAACTTTGGCACGCGACCCATCAGGGAAATCTTCTGGCAGGCCAGGACGTTTGTTTACCTGCAGCGTCCGCAGGTTTGGCCGATCGCAGCTCCCACTGGCTGCGATTCACCGTTTCAGGCCAATAGGAGCTGCGGGAAGCGGCGTCCAGCACATCTCTCAGCCCGCGTTGCTTCCCACAGCCCCTATTGGCCTGGAACAGTGAACGCAGCTAGTGGGGGCTGCGATTGGTCGAACCTGTGGATGCTGCAGATAAACAAACCGTCCCAACCCGCCAGCGGATTTCCCTAACAGGCTGGGTGCCAAAGGCTGCTGATTCCTGCTATAACTAGTTCTCTTAATAAAGAACTGGTTTAGTTTTAAAAATATGTTATCCAGCACATGGTAAATGAAACAAAAGGTTTCACTTTATTATCAAGAATTTAAAATTTGCTTTCCAGAGAGGCTTGCATTTTATATTTTAAAGCTTCCAGCGGTTCTTTAATGGACAGCTCTCCTGATGTGGAAGTGGGGGGAGGATCAGTACCTTCTGCAGTAGCTGTGCTCACACTTCATTTTTAGCATATATATCTATATCTATCCATATTTATGTATAATGTATGTTGCTTAGGTCTTCCTCATTCTCTGACAATTCAGGCAGTTCACGGTACTGAATCAGCTATTTAATAGAAACAATGTTGAAATAGGGGAGGCAGTGTAGCCTACTGCAGAGGCTCTCAACCTTTTTGGTTCTGAGTCCCCCCCAACATGCTATAAAACTTCATGGCCCACCTGTGCCCCAATAATTGTTTTTCTGCATATCCAGTAGATTAAAATCCAGAGCAGGCGTTGGGGGGTAGCAAGCAGGGCAATTGCCCGGGACCCCACGCCACAAGGGACCCCACAAAGCAGAGTTACTTGGGTCGGGCTCAGGCTTTGGCTTCAGCTCCAGTCCCAGGCAGTGGGGCTCAGGCTTTGGCTTTCTGTCTTGGGTCTTAGTGAGTCTAATGCTGGCCCTGCTCTCTGGTTTATTTTGGCGGATTGTCTGAAACCTGCTCATGGCACCCCGGAGGGATGCTGACCCCTAGTTGAGAGCTGCTGACCTACTGGATATAACATTTAGGGTTATCACCTTTGAAATGCACAAAAAAAAAAAAAAAAAAGGACACCCGCCCCAAGGCAAGCCTGCTGCAGCCCCAACCACAAGGCAACTCTGGAAACCCACCAACCCCCAGCTTTAACCGCCACTTATAGTATCTAGAGAGATAACACATATAGATAAGATTGCTAACATTAACATCACAAGTCTCCTCACTTTCCTGTGATGCAGAATCCTGTTGCGCGCACACACACATGTGGTGCACTTGCGTGTTGGTGGGCAGACAGCTGCTGTATTTTCAACAGTTTTGATCTGTTATTGCTTAAATTGCAGCAGTGGGAAGGAATACTACAGCACCTTTAGATGGACACACAAACTTTTAATATTAGATATCCCAGTGTATTGTGATAGTAATGCAAATCTTTAGACCCACATAAAAATATCCTGGCAGATTATTTCTCAGGCAACTGGCAAATCAATAAAAAAAACCCAGGCAGGTCAAATACTAGCCATGTGGTAACCCTAGGAACACTAGATGAGGACGCTGGAGACCTGGGTTTTATTCCAAGTACTGCCACTATGTGGCAGGGGTGTACACAGGAATAAAAATTTGGCTGCTTTTGGAGGGAAACTTTGTGTCTCTCAGCCAGAGGAGCTGTCTCTCTTCCCCCGTGCCCACCCCCTCCCTTCTCAGGGCTGGAGGAGCTGTCATCTCCCACCCCAGTCTGGCTGGAGCTCACTCTCCTCATCCTGGTGGAGTTCGGTACCCCCACTGATTTTTTTGGGGGGGCTATGCCATTGCTTGCCCCCCCTTGCACATGCCCCTACTGCCTGGGTTTTATTCCCACAAACCCATTTATCTGTTCATTCCCTTCCACAACTGTAAAATGTGGATGATACTTAACTCCTTGCAAAGTGTTTGGAGGTTTACTGAAGAAAAGCACTATTTACTATATTAAAAAAATTGGTGACAACTTAGAACAAAGGTGTCATACACTACTACTGGTAAGAGGCTAAGACTTACAACTTGATCTGAGCCACCTGCAAAAAGGTTAATAGCTTTGAAATGTGGAAAGGAGCAGTGCCCACCACTAATAGCTCAGTAACATGCAAACATAGAGAGCTCTGGCTGCGTGCTGGGTCCCTTGCCACACCCACCCACCCCGAATTCTGCTTCATAGTAAGCCTGAACTGTTTGGCCAGCTGGCCACACTAGGGCCTTGTCAGGTGTGTGGGGACAGGCACATGAAGAGAGCATTCTAGGTGAACACTCTGTTATGGGAATTGAATGACAAGGTCAGCGAAAGCCCCTGTAGCCAAATATTTTCCACAGATGCATGCTGCAGTGCAAGGGCCTGTCCTGTTTGCTACAGCATGAGCCAAAGCGTGTGGCAGGATAAACAAGCCTCTGCTTACACTGCCACGCATTTTCCTGGCTGCGCTGGCCGGGAGCCTGCTGGCTGCAGCAGGTTTCCTGTTTGGGGGGGAACTGTGGGGCTGGCAGGCCCCAGGACGCAGAGTTAGCTGGGGACTGCCTCTGTCCCCATCCTGTACTGTGAGAGGCTTCTCCACCTCGCCCCTTGCTCGCTCCTCTCCAGCTACCGCCTGATACCAGCACCTGCACCGCAGTGCTGGTCACGTGAGCGAGGACAGTCGGTTCACCAACCCTGCGACCCCACCCCTCTGGAGGGCACGTGTCACGCGCACGTAACGAGCGCGTCCCCGCAGCCCCGCGTCAGTGGCTCGTTCAAACTGGGAGCGCTGAAAACTTGCGGTAAGTGGCGCCGCGCGGGGATGAGGGTGAAGAAAGCGACGGCAGCCTGGAAGGATCAGAACACTCTGGGCCGCCAGCGGCGCGCATTGTGTGTGTGTGTGTGTGTGTGG